ACAGTTCTTGAGTGCTGGTGCCTGTGATGGGTAACATCAGCCTGATTTTCATTAAAAAACTCTGAATTCTCAAGGAGTGAAAGGGCACGACATAAAAAAAAAAAACATTAAGAATAAACCCACAGGAGCTGATGGCAGTGATCCCCAGAGCAGCGGGAGGACCCACAACTGGAATTAAGACAGAGACTTTTGCATAAATCTGGATGGTAATCTCTCACTCAGATGATGAGATTGTCGCTCTCGCTTGCACTAATCCTCCTGAAGGAATCCGAAGATTACAAGCATCTCGAGAATACCTTGCTGGAAACGATTGATGCCTCTCTGATTAGTGTCTGACGGCAACAGGGCCTTAAACACAAGTTTGGTATGTACAATGGGATTTATCTACACAAATGGAAGGAAGGGGGTGGAGAGACAGAGAGATGGTGGCATACATTTGGTTAAAATAAACAAGCCTAACCTGTATTTGTGTTTTATATAACTTAAAGGGATATTTCCCCCAAAAATGAAAACATTGTCATAATAAACTTACCATCAAGTCGTTCCAAATCTGACCTCCTTTCATCTGTGTAATACAAAAGAAGTTATTTTGAAGAATGTTTACACAGCCTTTACCCATACAATGAAAGTCAATGGGGTCCAAAACAACTATGAACATCACTGACTTTCATTATATGACCATCTTCTTTTGTGTTCCACAAGAAAGAATGTCTATACTACAGCTGCATAATTAATCAAAATAAAACCAAAATTATGATATGGCGATAATCAAATTGCAAAGGCTGTGATTTAATTAAATGAATGTTTTATATATCTATATTAAATAGATATATGGGATTTTGCGTTTCAAAGTGAAGTGTGGCTCTGTGTTCATTTACACGCGAGCAGCTCTTTATCCACTGGTGTTTGCAGTGTCTCAGAGCGGCTCCACACAAACTCCATCTCTGCATCTGCTTTGAGTTTGGGTCACTTTAACATGCATCAAAATAAGTGTTTGATGGTTTTGCATTTGCAAATGAAAAAATTTGTATTGTAATTTTACAATTGTAATGTAAAATAAAATTATTATTATTATTATTATAATTTTTAAAATACTCATTTTTATTTTACAGTTTAAATGTTTAATTATATTTTACTGTGTACATTTTAAATTATTATTTATTATTATTACTCATTATTTTATAGCCACATTGATTGTATTGATATTCACAATTGATATTCACAACATTTTGTCCAAAATGTGCAGCAACAAACAAGCATTGCGAACTTGGAATTTTTTTAATTGTACATGCATTTCTTTCTTCTGTGGAACACAAAAGAAGATATCCTGAAGAATGTTGGTAACTATACAGTTTCCCAGTGACTTCCAATTTATTTTTGTTTGTACAATGGAAGTCACTGGGAAACTGTATAGTTACCAACATTCTTCAGGATATCTTCTTTTGTGTTCCACAGAAGAAAGAAATGCATAATGGTTTGGAATGACCTGAGGGCGCGTAAATGATGACAGAGTTTTTATTTTTGGAGTGGGCTATCACTTTAAGTTCCCTTTCTTTGTTGCGTTCTGGTCAAAGCTCTCATTTGTGGTTTTCCCACTGCTTCCTATAGTAAGATATTCAGGGAGTAATAAATAAATAACACAAATTGACAATGCAGCAAGCCTTCTAAATATCCCAGAAGCAGCTAGATTAATGAGAGACACCAACAGAACACACTTCTATTGTGAGAATGCCAAGCAGTCTATATAAAGGATTGTTATTCTATCGCTGCACATAGGACACGCTGCACTCCTTCATGCATTGCTAATGTAATGCCTGTAGTGCTCCATTTCCAAACATGCCTGATGCCTTATGCTGCTTTATGCATACACACACACACACACAAACCTCCATGCAAAAAACAACACCAAACGGCTGTATGTTGAGCTTAAGGTTATGGAAATCCCCACAATGATATGAATACACATGTGTGTGTTTGTGTTTGTCACCTAGATACAGTGTTTTTAAACACACGAAATAATGCCTTCTGTCACTTCAAAAAATGCCAAAAGTATTCAAAAGTAATCATTGTTAGGGTAAATTAATTCTAATGAGTTTCATTTCATTTGAATCAGTGCTAGGGCAGGTGCTCCTCTACATAGTAGCATCGCAAACGTTGTGTGTTTATGTAGGGGAAGGTTAGTGAAGCTGAGTGACATATTATATAAAGATACTGTAAGATATTCTTCTGTATCATTTCCAGAGGACATACACACATTATACACTTACACACTCGCTCATATCACACACACACACACACACACACACTCATCACAGGTCATCTCTTCTCCAATGCACACATGAACACGCTTTCCACAGTCCTGCATCTTTACTTACAACACAATATCTCAAATACTAACGCAATAATACAAGATTATAGGGGATGTGCATTGCAGAAGCGCTTGTCTTCAAAAAGTATCCAATAAAAGCTGTTAATGTGTCTTAAGTTTGATCTCAGTGCAATCTCTCTTGGTCTATCACATCTTGTTTTGCCTTTATCCGCTTGAATGCTGGAGTGCCTGCTTGACGAGGCATCGCGAACGAACAGAGGATTTGGAAGATGAGAGATTCGGTGAGTGCGTGTATGAGGGGAGGGGATTAATATCCTGAATCGTGGCAGTAGATGGGATTTTTTTCACTATTGTCTGCCGTAGACCTCTCAACGTAACACGATCATGTAAATGAAACCACATCCATTGTTGCATGCGGAAAAGTGAGAAGCTGCGGTGCAATACATACAGTGTTCCACTGCGTTCTGCACTGTGAGTTGCAACATTTATGCATGCATGTTTCTTTACACTCTTGAAATAAAGTTTCTAAAAGGTCTAAAATGCCACAGAAGAACTACATTTTGGGTTCCACAAAGAACCAAAAATCCTTTTTCCACACACACACACACACACACACACTCATCACAGGTCATCTCTTCTCCAATGCACACATGAACACGCTTTCCACAGTCCTGCATCTTTACTTACAACACAATATCTCAAATACTAACGCAATAATACAAGATTATAGGGGATGTGCATTGCAGAAGCGCTTGTCTTCAAAAAGTATCCAATAAAAGCTGTTAATGTGTCTTAAGTTTGATCTCAGTGCAATCTCTCTTGGTCTATCACATCTTGTTTTGCCTTTATCCGCTTGAATGCTGGAGTGCCTGCTTGACGAGGCATCGCGAACGAACAGAGGATTTGGAAGATGAGAGATTCGGTGAGTGCGTGTATGAGGGGAGGGGATTAATATCCTGAATCGTGGCAGTAGATGGGATTTTTTTCACTATTGTCTGCCGTAGACCTCTCAACGTAACACGATCATGTAAATGAAACCACATCCATTGTTACATGTGGAAAAGTGAGAAGCTGCCGTGCAATACATACAGTTCCACTGCGTTTTGTACTGTGCGCTGCAACATTTCTGCATGCACATTTCTTTACACTCTTAAAACAAAGGTTCCAAAAGGGTGTTTTATAGAAGAAAAAAATAGAATAACCTTTAAGTGAACAGTTCTTAAAACCAGTGGTTCTCAATTCCAGTCCTCGTGACCCGCCGCTCTGCACATTTTCTCAGCAATTTAACACATCTTAACAGGGTTCATACAGTTGATAATGCAGTACTCTGGCTATTCTTGCCCATAATTACATAATAATGATAGAATGTACAAGCCCTGTGCAGTGGATCAACACCTCTGACTCAGTCGGTTACTCAGAGTATCGATTTATGCTCTGTGGTAAAGAAACCCTTTAGAGGAGGATCATAAACATGCTTGAAGAAGCTCTGCAAGGCCACCTGAGACGAGGAGGGTAATGAGAGGGAATATTCATGTGGCTGCAAACACATTTTACAAGAGGTGTGTATTTTATAGCACGTAAGAGACCTGGTAGCCTAAAAGTTTACTGGCACTGTTCATCAAGATGAATCCATCTCACATGTCTTAAACGGACAGTTCACCCAAATTCATCAAACCTGTATGACTTTCTTGCTTCTGTGGAACACAAAAGAAGATATTTCAAAGAATGTTGGGGTCTAAGCAACATTGGACCCCACTCACTTGCATTGTGTCTCAAAATATCTTCTTTAATTAAGCAATTGGCAACAGAATTTTAATTTTTGGGTGAACTATCCCTTTAAATCTTATTGGAGTAAAATCATACTGTAGACATTCCATTCAAAACTGCATGACTCAGAATGGCCCTCAGCAGGGAGCTGATATTCACAGATGTGGATCATTTTTTAACACAGACGGTGAAGAATCCAAACTCATGATACTAGCAAAAATACATGCAAAGCACTGGAGAGAAAAAAAATCATTTGCTGTCAACACATATAGCTTCCACTCTATGAAATTTACTTAAATGATTTTAGCAAATGGCTGCAATATAACAAAGAGTGAAAAATTTAAGGGGGTCTGAATACTTTCCGTACCCACTGTATAATAAATGGTAACAACTTACATTTTTACATATGCATAGGCTTTGCAGATCAGCTTCAGATACTCCTATGTCTTTCAAAGAACCTTTGTTTTAAGAGTATATGGGGTGAAATCACTATCATGTTTGACCAACACCCTTCTGAAGTGACTGTAGAAAAAGATCTCTGGTACATCAACTGTATAATGATTACTTTAAGTACATTTCATTACCTCATACGGTAAATACATTTACAAAATGTAAAACATCTTTTTTTATTGGTGTTACAACTTAGTAATAAGTATAGGTTTTAAAACTACTATAATGTGTAGCAGACAAACATGGGAATGTGTTATCAAAGTTTGAAACGCAAAATCATTGGAGTTACAGATGTTGAAACAAGGGTTACACCCCTTACACGTTCTACCCAATGTGAACTTTTGATGTATATTATATAATTGTGCTACATGTATTATTAACTGCTGAAAGTTATTGTAAAGTCTCACCAAATTAACTTTTGATCACTTTTATTATAGGAGCCACGCACACTTACCGCCTGTTCGATGGCGCATCTTTCTTTTGCTTTTTATTCATCACAGCAGGGACACAGTTCGTGAGCTCGGTCCAGTCCGCGTGCAAACCGCAACTCCAGCCCGTGGAGAACCGCGAGAAGAGCCACGACTCCGCTTTGCCGGGTCGGTGACACGTGCATTTCTTCTGGCCGGAGCGGCAGTCGCACGGGCGTTCCAGGTGGATGTTCCGCACCAGGTGCCTCCCGAACGTCGTTCCTCCGGTCTTCTGGATGTGGAGGAACACGATCACGTCGTTCTCCTTGATGTCGAAATCCACGTGGCGATCGAGGTCCTCGCGCGTGAAGTTGAATTTAGACGGGAATCTAAACGGAGCATCCTCGTCTGGATCCGGACACTTTCTCTTGACGTCTGCTGGATATTTGGAGAACGGAAAACTCTCTCCATTACCAAACCGACAGGACGTGCTGCCCGCAGGACAGATGTACTGATAGCCGATCATGACAAATAAAACGGTCAAAACAGGAACTAAAAGGAGTTTGTTGGATTTATCATCCATTGCAAAGACAATGGATCGTATGATCACGCCATTGGTGATGCTGTCGCCGCTGAATGAGTCCTCCAGGTGCTTTCCACGGATGCTGCTCGCAGGCAAAGTCTGATCCGGCAAGACGAGCGTCTCAACGCAGACGAGCACAGCCTTCAGTTAGATCATAGTTACATAAAGGACAGTTGGACCGTCAAATCCAAGACAGAAAGGAAAAACCAGCCTTGCGTTTCCACATTGTACTAAACTTTGAACATCCATCTGCAGTGCAGGTCGTCTCTATGTTTAACGTAAATTTTAGCCGTCCTCGTCCGATAGATTATAACGTGAGGCTTGGCTGTGGAGATGAGATCCGGACCCATTGTAAAACACATCCAAAGATCCGCTCCGTCGCGCCGAGCTTTAGCGCTGATTGCGCTGCTTTGTAATGCAGGTTCTGAGATGAGCTTTAAGAAGTTGAGTTCCTGTTGTAACTTGCTTATCGTGTGAGGAGAGAGAGAGAGAGAGAGAGAGAGAGAGAGGGGTTAAGTGGGATAGTTAGAGTTGATCACCATTACAGTGGGTGGAAAAGAAGCACACACTGATGGTGCAAAATACCATCAAATTCTTGAGGAAAATCTGCTGCCTTCTGCCAGAAAGTTGTCAATAAGAATAAGCTTTACCTTGAAACATGACAATGGCCCCTATGCATGGGCCGGTATGAGATTTTGACGGTATGATAAAAAAAAATATCACGGTATTGTCGTTACAGCTCTAAAATTTATTTTTAAATGACTGGGTAAATAAAAAAAAATTTCCGCTGAACAGAATATATTTTGTTTTTGAGCAACATACAGAATATTAGGAACAGTAGAATTTGTTTATTTTTTCTTTGATTTGTTTCCTAAAATATTTCTACACTTTCAGTCTTTGAGGAGACATGAAAAACAGCGCATACCGCAGGAACGGTATAACGGAAAATATTAGCGGTTTTGAAACCGTGACATTTTCAAATCGCGGTATACCTTGAAACCGGTAATCGGCCCATGCCTAGACCCAAAACACACAGCAAAACTGAGCACACAGTGGTTGAAGGAGAAAAAGGTGAATGTCCTTGCATGGCCTAGTCAGAGTCCAGATTTAAAGCCCATTGAAAATCTGTGGAATGACTTGAAGACTGCAGTCCATAAATGGTCACCATCAAATTTAACTGAACTTGAGCAGTTCTGCAAAGAAGAGTGGGCACATATCACAAAGTCTAGATGTGCAAAGTTAGTAGAGACAAATCCCAACAGACTAAATACTGTAATTAAAGTAAAAGGGGGTTCAACAAAATACTGACACAAGTGATTCTGTTTTTTTATTTTTATTTTCTGACATGTTGGTGTTATATCTTTCACTTGGATGTTATAAGTTGCACTGCGTAAATACAGCTGGATAAAACAAAATCCGTGTCTTCATTTCAGGCTGCAAAGTAACAAACTGATTATTTTAATTAATAGATTATTTTAAAGGGGTTATTCTTTTCTATACCCACTGCATAACCAAATAAAGTCTAAATGTACCAAATGTACCCAAAAGTTAAGCGAAATTTCGCTTTTGGGGTCCTAAATCGATGGAGTGACAGCTCAATTCATGGGAAAACACTGGTGAGGAAAATGACAGAAATCTGAGGTAAAACCTGCTAATGTAATAAAAATGTAAAATGTCATTTAAAAATGTTAAAGAACAAGGAAAGATGATTTAGAAAATGAGTAAGATATTTTATGGAATAATATATGGAAGTGTTTAATCTTAATGGATATTTTAGGGAGAATTACCTACTTATTTTTCATTTAAGTGGATTTAATAAATGGATATTTAAACCTTTATGTAAGCCTATGTTGGCAAAAAAAAACTATAGTCAAGTACAAGTCCCTGTCTTGCTTGTTAAAGAGACAAAAAAGTGTTACACTTTGTGTCCTACTTTACCAGTATTGCCTGAAAAAAAAACAATCTGGGGTTTGGTCAGAAGAGGGTTTTTAATGTTCTTCTTTCCAGTGTTTGGAAGTTCTTAAATTTTGCTTCCCATAAATGTATAATGTCAGGTTCTATGGCATTTGGATTTAAATTGAAAGTGCAAGGAAATGTAAAATTTCCATTTCTTTTCTAATTGGTTCTAGTAAACCCATTACAATACTCCCTGGTGTCTCTTACCCCAAATAACCTCTCAGTCAGAGCTGTGGTGCAGAGAGTAGTGCATTGCTCCTGACATATGAAGCACTGCTGAGGCTTGTGGGAATCTATTGTGGAGCCTGGCCTGGGTCACACGTCCCGGTTCTGTTCACCCTCTCTCTTCCTGTACTCTTCTGTTGCTTCTCAACTGACCTACTAAATAAAGGCAAAAGGCTGATAAACAAAGTAAAAAAATCCCCCACTCAAATCAGTATTAAAAACAACATTTAGACATAACAGTGACTATTCAATAAGAGTAGGATATCTAAAAGTGAAGAGATCACGGTATGTGCAAATATAGCAACTTAGAAACTCATAATGCTTGATATTAGTGCTGTGAAATGATTAATCACAATTAATCGCATCCAAAATAAAAGTTTTTGTTTACATAATTTATGCATGTGTACTGTGTATATTTAGTATGTATATATAAATACACACACACACATGCATGCATATATTTAAGAAAAGTATGTTTTGTTTATACATAAAATATTTGTTATAATGTAAATTATGTATGAATATTAATATATATACATGTAAATATTTTTTCAATATATACATGTATGTTTGTGTATTTACATATACATAATAAATATACACAGTACACACACATATTATATAAACAAAAACGTTTATTTTGGATGCGATTAATCGCGATTAATTGTTTGACAGCACTACTTGATATCAATCAATCCACTGTTGTCCAAATAAATTATGACTGTACTTTGAATACAATACATAATTATTCTGGAGAGAATGATGGTCTTTCTACTTCAAAATTCCATGTTTAATTAAATGTGTTACTTGCTGTTTCTGTGTAATTGTATGTTAAATTTACTAGCAGATTTTGAGTAAAACTTGTTTCTACACTAATGTTTTTTCAGCTGCTTAATGTTAAATAGACAATGTGGGGTTTTTTTTTTTTTTTTGTCATTTTATGACATAGCAGTGAAGCAAATGTTGCACTTTTGGCCTTGATTTGCCTAATGATGCAATCATCCATTCATCCACAGCATATTTCTTTTTGAAAATGATTAAAAATGAAAACATCAGTATACAATTTTGATATTTTTTTCTAGCCATCAACCTGGCAGCATTTCAGCACCACGGACAGCTCTAAACAATAGCCCTATATTTGCAGATACTTTCCCATGCCATCAAATCTGTATCAATATATTGTGCTTTTCAAGACAATCTATAATTGAATCGAGTATTAGATAATCATTTGACAGTTTTACCTGTCAAAGATAAGACAACAAAGCAATAATTCAACCATTTGGGTTTTGTTGAACTTGCTGTAATCGAATGTCTGTATTTATCTCCAGGGCTCTTGTTGTGTAGAGCCTGTGGGGGTGGAAAAAAACATCTTGTTCCTCAAACCATTTAAATGGAGGTTTATAACATTTTCCCCACAACAATCACTAATGACCTAATAACTTCATAATAACTCCACCTCAAAATCACCCCCACTCCTTTTCATAACAAAGTGACCAATCCTGAGCTCAAATGCAATCTTTTTGATAAGGTTGGGTGAATGGTCAGAAGCAATGGGAGTCGAAAAGATTCTAGTTGCGATTTCTTCAGTTCTTTTAGTTACAGTTTTATTCATCTTGTGTAATACACAAGCACAGATAATTTCTCCCAGGATAATTAGAGATGCATCCGGCTTTGACAAGTTTAAGATTATTAGAGAGTGTATGGCTATGTCTGTGTAGATTCAAGGAAGTGGCTATCTTTGGAACGGTAAACATCTCATGAACACAGAGCTGGTAATTTATCATTTACATACATTAGTCATCAAGCACCACAGGAGCCTTGACAACAAGATGGGGACAATCATTCTCTTTTTTTTTTTTTTAAGACACGACACAGTCTGGAGGCTATTAATGGTTAGCTACCTTAAGTGTCACTGTTGACTTCTTATGTTACAAAATACAACATTTTCAAACGACATGCACAGACCTGATTCAGTGTGGATGCTTGAACAGGGTTTCTGCAGCTTTTATGAAGGTTAATTTAAGTCTTTTTAAAAGTTATTTTTTAAGAAATTCTAAGGAATAAAGGGAACGCAATAAGTCCATATGTTCTTTAAATGTAAATGTCTAGGGAGCACACAATGAATTGTATTAGCAAAATTTCAACACTTCCATTATTCTTTTATTTATTTCCAAAATAAATTGCTTAAGGCTTGAATA